TTTATATATATTGTTAGTCTCAGCCACTCTGGGGTTTGTGATAGCGGGTGCCCCCCAGGCTGTGGGCACTCTGTGGTGTGGACAGATGCTGCCTGTTGACATTTTGGGGTGTTTTTCCCTTGCAGGGGTCTACCAGCACGTGTCTGGGGAGCAGGTGGGAGGCCACGCCATCCGCATCCTGGGCTGGGGCGTGGAGAACGACACTCCCTACTGGCTGGTGGCCAACTCCTGGAACACCGACTGGGGCGAGAACGGTGAGAGCCACCGGGAGTCCCCGCCCCATTCCCCTCCCATGGATGGAGAGGGTGACGTTTTTTTGGGAATCCCCACCCCATTCCCCTCCCATGCATGGAGACGGTGACGGTTTTTTTTGTTTGTTTCTTGGTGTTCTCCCAGGTTTCTTCAAAATCCTGCGAGGAGAGGACCACTGTGGCATCGAGTCCGAGGTTGTGGCTGGCATCCCCAGGCCGGAGCAGTACTGGAAGAGGATGTAACTCTGATCAAACCACAAATAATCCTGAGTCCCTGATGCTTTTAACTGATAGTGGGTTGGGTGCAGAGACCCTCCCTTCTAAAAAGAGACTCTAGTTCAGGTTACTTTATTAAAGCTTTTTATCTTCTCTTTTTTTTTTTCCAATTTTTTGTTCGTGATTTTTTCCTTTTAAAAATTTTTGGGTTTTTGTTTTTTTTAAATTGTACGGTGGAGCTGGAGGTAGAACTGCTTTCTGCCAACCTCCTGCTTTTCTGGTGGGTCACAGCGGGACATTGGGGCACTCCCTGCTCAGAGGACTGCTGGGGAGCTCGCTGGCCTCTTGGAATTTGGCTAGCCTGGACCCCTTCCAGCCCAGTTTGCTACTGGGAGGGCAGAAACAGCAGCTTTGTGCTGGGATTAGGGACTTGGTGGGGCAGCAGAGGTGGATGCTGCTGGAAAGCCATGGCCAGGGGGATTTATACACCCCCAAATGGGTTGATCTGACTGTTAGCACCCAAAACAAGCAGGGAAGGATTTCCCGTGAGTGTGTGCCTTGAACTGGCTAAATCTAGACCTATTAATGAACAAAATACTCATGAACTTGCTGTGGGGCTGGCTCTGGCCAGAGCTGCCTGCACCAAGTCCCTCGTGCATCGCCTGCTCTGCTCCATCCTTCTGGCTTTTCAAACCACTTCTTCCTCAGCTGTTCACTGGCTTTTTTACCTGCTGTAGTCTGGGGTTATTGATGCTGGGGAAGGGCCTGGCTGGAGCTCCATGAGCCTTTGATCAAATATCCTGCAGGCATCTGGGAGGGAGCTGGAAAGAGCAAAGCCCTTCTCCTCCATGGCTGAGCAGCTTGGTGTGTGCAGGTCACGCCTGGGCAAGGGTGCAGCACCCAAATTTGGGGTGCTTTGGGGCTGCAGGTGCTGGGTGCTGAGCTGAGGGATGGTTCCCAAGTCTGCTGCAGGGAGCTCAAGCTTGGAGGTGTCTCATTAACTTGGACACAATTAAAGCTTTTTTTTTTCTTGAGCCACAGGCATTAAAGGAAGGTAAAAACCCTTATTTTTGTTACTGGGGGGAGCTGTAACAGATTGTGTATAGGAGGAATCATGATTTGCCACCACTAATATAGCAAAGAGCTTTTTTTTATTAATTTTAAAGCACAAAATATATTAGTGACCTGAGGCTATGGGTCTGAAACGTGGGAAGCAGGCTCTCCATGCACTGTAAAATAGCCCCTTACCTCTGCTTGCTCAGGCACCAGTGAGGCAGAGCTGTGCTGTACTTGGCTGGAACACCTGTGCCAATAAATGATTTCTCCAGTGTCTTGGCTCCTGGCTCTTGGTTGCTTCTGCTTGGCTTCTGCCACCTCAGATTGTTGTCTGGAGTGGAAGCCAAGTGAGACCCTTCTGTCCTCAGGGAATGTTCTGGGTTGGGAGGGACCTTAAAGACCATCCAGTCCCACCCCCTGCTGTGGACAGGGACAACTTCCACTATCCCAGGGTGCTCCAAGCCCTGTCCAGCCTGGCCTTGGACACTTCCAGGGATCCAGGGGCAGCCCCAGCTGCTCTGGGCACCCTGTGCCAGGGCCTGCCCACCCTCACAGTGAAGAATTCCTTCCCAATATCCCATCCATCCCTGCTCTCTGGCAGTGGGAAGCCATTCCCTGTGTCCTGTCCCCAGTCCCTCTCCAGCTCCCCTGGAGCCCCTTTAGACCCTGGAAGGGGCTCTGAGCTCTCCCTGGATCCTTCTCTTCTCTGGGTGAGCACCCCCAGCTCTCCCAGCCTGGCCCCAGCCCTTGGAGCATCCCTGTGGATTCTTCTGGGCTCTCTCCAGCTGCTCCATGTCCTTCTGCTGTTGGCCTCAGGGCTGGAGCAGCTCTGCAGGAGGGGTCTTACCTGAGAGGGGCAGAATCCCCTCCCTTGTGTCACTGCCAAATTCTTCTGGACTCTCTCCAGCTGCTCCATGTCCTTCTGCTGTTGGCCCCAGATCTGGAGGCAGCTCTGCACGTGGGGTCTCACTGAGAGGGGCAAAGTCCCCTCCCTTGTGTCACTGCCAGCCCTGTCCTGTGGCCCTGCTGGTGACAGCCACCCCGTGGGGTGTGTGCTGGTGGTGGGGAAGGTGCTTCCACCTGGAGCAGCCAGGACCTGTCCCCAGCATCCCTGAGGAGGCACCAGGGCCCTGGAGCCTGTTCCTGCAGCCCAGGGCTGTGCCACCACTCCTTTCAGGGTAAATTTATGGACTCTCAGCTGTCCCTCTGGTTAAAATTCTTCCATCAGCTCTGGCACACAGGGCTGTACTTTGATACCCAGACTTGGCACCAGGGGACCATTGGAATGTTATGAGCTGAGGGCTTGTAACTTGTGGAGAAATTACTGGTGTAAAAGTAATGATAGCTGAAAAAAAAAAAAACTGATGATCCAGCACTTTTTTTTTTCCCAAAGAAAACTTTTAATTTCAACAAGACGGGAAGCTGCACAAAGAGAGCTACCACGAGTTTCTTTAGAACAATAGCTTAAATCTACACCAGGAACTGTGGAGTAGGGGCTCTCCTGAGTAACAGCCTGACCATGGGCTTGGCCTTGCAAAAGCCACCACCCTGCACCTGGTAGCTCTGTCCTAGACCAGGACATGGGCTCTCCTTCCCTTCACGACAGCAAAGCAGCATTTGAAGGGGGTGGGCAGGGACCTTGAAAACAACAATCCACCCCAGGAGAACAGGACTTGCCTTCAGGGTGCTGTTTCCTCTTGTAAGTCCAGCCTGACGTGTCTGAAGACAGCAGTGGGAGCCTCTTGCAGCTCACATATCAGTGTAAGCCAGAGCCAAGTGGGTCAGGGAAACCTGCCCTGGTCACCCCCTCCATGGCTCCAGCCTTCCCAGCTCCTGGCAGGGATCACTCCTGCCTTCCAGGGTGACCAGTGCACCCCTGAAAAAGCATCCCTTGAGGGACAGCAGGGTGCAAACTCTTTTTCCCCTGCCTTGCTCTGCCACGAGCACCCATCCCCTGGGGCTGGGTCAGCGCAGAGCCCAGAGCCTGCTGTGGAGTCAGGCCTGGGGTTATGAGCTCAGGGCTGTGCTGGCAGCTCCATTCTCATTTTAACCACTTCCCCCACAGCTGAAACAAGAGCTGTGTCACTGCAGGGGCCATCTGTCCCAGGGCAGGGAGCTGCACAGCTGCCTGTCAGCTGGGGGCACATTCAGGTGGACAGAGTAGCTCACCTCCCATACATTTAACATGAAAAGGGCTCATTCCAGCATCCTTCAGCACAACAGAAATGTGACTACGGCCTCTGCCTGCATAAAGGCTGCAGGATGTCAATCACTGAGGGCCAGAAAGTGGCCAGAGCTTTTTCCTTGGATAAGGAAGCATGTTCCTCTCCCAGCTGAAGCAGCATCTTTCCAGCACGGAGCAGGCACCAGAGGTGAGGGAGAAGAGGCTGCCCAACAAAGGGAGGCAAAACCTTCAGGTTTTTGCTCAGCTCTGAGCTGGAAAGATGCCTCAAATCTCGAGGAAGAAAAGAAACAACTGGAGTTCCTATTTCAAATCATTCTAATGGAAAAAACCAAAAAAACCAAAACAAACAAACAAAAAAAAATCACCAAAAATATTCAGGTAAACAGCAAAAAAGGGGAAAAAATACTCAACCCCAAACACTAAGACTCCAGTCAGCATTTGCAGCCATCCAAGCAGACAGCAAGGGCAGTGAGGATGGAGCCCAGCAATGCCACACTGTCGCCTCTCCCTCTCTCCACACCCAGCATGCAAATCCATCCTGAGCAATTTCTGGAGCAGCAGAAGGTCAGTGGTGTCACTGGGAGCAGTGGTGTTACTGGGATCAGGGGTTCTCACCCTGCAATCCTCACTCGCTGTATACCCCACCAAAAACCAGTGGGAACATTCCTGCCTGGAAACAGCCCCATCATCACCTGATTCTGTGGCATTTGGGGTTTTCTTCTCGTGGCCTCTGAGGTACTCCTCTGCAGGAGTCTGAGCAAGGTGGGCACAAGCAGAGACCCTCTCCTGGGTTAAAGCCCTGCAGTGTCACTGTCCCTTGCCATGGGATTGCCAGTTCACAAGGGCAGCTCTAATAACCCATGGTTTGGGGTCTCCCTGCTGCAGAAGTGAAGTATTTTTATTTAATAGCCTTCACTGGAATTGGGATTTGGGGAGGGAGGTGTTTTTTCCCCAGAAAACCCCCTACCAGTTGACTCTCCATGTAAACTTTTAATCTCCATAGGACCCTGAAGTCAGGAGGGAGTCATAAGGTCCCACCTGAGACTCCTTTTCTCCAGGCTGAGCCCCTCCCCAGCTCCCTCAGCCACTCCTGGTGCTCCAGACCCTTCCCCAGCTCCATTCCCTTCTCTGGACACGCTCCAGCCCTTCAATGTCCTTTGTGTTGTGAGTGGCCCAGAACTGACCCCAGAACGGGGTCAAGGGGATGGGCACTGCCCTGGTCACTGGCCCCAGTCCCAGAATGCCACTGGCCCCAGTCTCTACTTCTCAACACAGCACCAGACCCAGGGTACATTCAAGGGAACACATCAAGCACAGTTTGGTCCAGGCCAAAACCACATCAGGGTCACCACTCCCCACCACCACTGAGCCAAGGGTAAAATGAACAGATCCCCATGTACTCCCAATTCCAGCCCAAGAACGGGGACAGGAATGGCCAGAAATGACCCAAAACAAACTGCTGAGCCTACCTCTTCCACGTACTGGTACATGATGGCTTTGACAGCTTGGATGTTCGTGGCATCCATCATGAGGGTGACGGCCTGGCCCTTGCGGATCTTCACCACCCCCCTGAACACCTGCTGGTTGTTGTAGCAGGCAGCCAGCGTGGCAATGGCCATCACCTGAGGACAGACAGGAACTTGCACTGCAAGGAACTTGCCAAGGGATCACCCTGTCCCACGGTGACAGCCACGGAGTGGAGCCACAACCTCAACAACAGCAGGAGCCAAGAAACAAGCAAAAAACCAAGGACACGGGACCTCCTCCACCTCCAGCTCCTCACCAGCTGGGCTGCAGAGGATGAGGAACCACTTGGAAGCTCAGCTCACCTGGGGGATAGCGCAGAAGTTGAAGACACTTTGGTTTTTGAGGCGGGACAGGTAGGTGAGGACGTCGGGGACGTGGTGGAGGGCGTTGGTGATGAGCTCGTTGAGGCACTGCACGGCCACGTCGATGTTCTCTGGCTTGGCAAGGTCCGACAGCTTCTTGGCATATCTGCTCCAAACCTAAACACCAAGATGAGCGTTTGTGAGTTGGAGGGTGCATTGATGTCATCAGAGAGACAGCAGGCCTGGGAGAGCAACATGAACCACCAAAAACCCCCACACAACAGCCTTGGATCATGGCTGGGGTAAAGAAAAGCAGGAAGGGCAGGCTGTGGGGACGTGACAGTGGCCTCAGTGTACACAAAGAGATGGTAAAGGAGGAGGGTGCAACTCATCTCCACATCTTTCCTAGGGAGGGCAAGGAAAAGGTGAGTCACACATCAAGAAGTGCCCTGTGAGACAGCTGAGCCACATGGAAAAGGGGGAGAAAAATTTTTGGACATCATGTCAAGCACAGGCAAAGTTGCTCCTGCTTTCTGGGAGCTTCTGGGTACCCTCCTGGCATCTCAGCCAGTTTAACCTCCCTCAATCCTAGAGAAAACCTAGCAGAGAGGAGAAAGAGCTGCCTAAGTAGTTCTTGGCAGTGCGTGGTGACATCACCTTGTCCCCAGAGAGCTGCAGACAGATGTCACCCAGCTGTCATCAGAACTGTCATTACCAAGAAGATGTACAGCCAACAGTAGCAGTTTTATGAGGTTTTTTCCTCACCTCTCTGGGCCAGAACTCCCTTCCCTCCAGCTGGTCCTCCAGATAGTCACGGATTATGTTGGTTTTCTGTAGGAAGAGGCCCATGGAGTTTGCCAGGTCTGTGTCCTGCCCCACGATGGAATCTTCCAGCTCTGATGCAGAGAAGAGACGGGAAAGGCCAATCCCCACCAGCCCAGCAACGTAGTGACAGTACTGCCAAGGAGGTGCCAAGTTGGGAAAGGGGGAAAAAAAACAAGATAAAAGGAGCAGTTACAAAGAGCTGCCTGTTTGCCAGAGTGAGTTTTACATAAAGCAATTGACAGTTCATTTGATGCAAGGTCTCCCTGGGATGTCTCAGCTTTCCCATGAAAACAAACACTTTTTCCCAACAGGGATGCTCTGTCTACTCCTTTAATAGAGACAAGGTGGACCCTACCTTGAAGTGTTCAAAAAAACCTGTGGATGTGGCACTTGGGGACATGGTTATGTGGTGGCCTTGGCAGTGCTGGTGGAATAATTTGGCTTGATGATCTCAGAGGGCTTTTCCAACCTTAACTCCATGACCCTACTCATGCTCAGCCCATTGCTCTGTCTGGGCTGACTCACCTTGTCCCACTCACGCTGAGAATCCACCTTCTTCTCCAAGAACTCTGCCATCCCAACACCCATCTTGTGACAAATATCCGAAATCACATCCTGGTAGACCTTGGACAGGTTTCTGAACTCCATGGAGATCTGTAGCATGGTAAAAACAGAAAGAGAGTGTTCAGGAAGGGGAAAAAAAAGCACCACAGCTCAACATTTATTAACAAATCAGAAAAATACTGTTTACCAGGCTCTAATCCTGCCCTGGCTGGAGATGTGGGACAACTCCCTCACAACCTGAGCTGTTTCAAGGTCCTTGGAGCTCAGGCTTAGCCTGTTCCCAGTCTAAACAGGATGGTCTCTGGCAGGAGATCAGACACAGCAGAATCTTTGGGAAGGCTCTGTGGCCTTGGACTGGTATCATCTGGGAGCTGCAGGACCAAACTGACTGCACTTGGTATACAGAGCTGTTTTCCTCTGTAATTTGAGAGCATTCCATCACACCAGCCACAGGAAAAGACCCATGGGAGGTTTCTGGTGCTCTGCTCTCCCCAGCCTTCTCCAGCTCTAGCTTCACACATTTGGCACAACTGGAAAGGCATCAAGCAGTGAGGGAAGTGTGAAATCCTTCTATTGCATCTCCAGTAACGTGATCATGGAATCACAGAGTGGGCTGGGTTGGAAATGACCTTGAAGATCTTCTAGTTCCAATCTAATCCAGTCCTATTATGGGCAGGGACACCTGCAGTGTCTCCATCACTCTCACACTGAAAAAAAAAATAATTAAAAAGTGCATCCTCCTTTTCCCAAAACTGTGGAGCACCATGTTTTACTGTGCTAAGCTTTATTCTCCATCAGTGGGTGACTGCAGCCAGCCCAGGGTTTGTGTGCAATAAGGTTTGTCTGTAAAATAAATTTAACCACTCTGCTTCTGTTTCTGTGGCTTCAGTCCCCTACACAGAGGAGCACAGCCTGCAAATGCACCTCTAGGAAATATTATTACAAGTTTTTTTACTATAAGGCTGGTGAGGCACTGGCAGAGGATGCCCAGAGGAGCTGTGAATACCCCTCAAAAGTTCAGGGTGAGGTTGGACAGGGCTTGGAGCAACCTGGTCTAGTGGAAGGTGTCCCTGCCTTGGCAGGAGATGGAATGGGATGAGCTTTATGCTCCCACTCAACCTAACAATTCCATGGCTCTACAATTTTATGATTACTAAAATCATACCTGAGCATGGACTGCCTCAAATAAATAACATACACACCCAGAGAGAATAGCAAAGTGACACAAACACCTTCTCAAAAGCTCCTCTAAAGCCAAGCCATTGACATACCTACTGCACTCCCACACACCCAGAATCCCAACACAGACATCCCCTGTAGCACTCCACACTCTGACAGGCCACAGCCACACTCAACCCCAAACCTGAGCATCAAAACTCCCAACACACCTCAGTTCTCCACACAACTACCCCATTCCCACTGCTAGGGAAAGCCTGAAAAGGGTGAAATAAATTAAAAATGGTGAACTTGAATAAAACAGAACATCCTCTGAAAAAGAGATGCTTCTCACCAGAAGTATTATATTTTTCCTTAAACAGAAAGAAGAAAAAAAAACCCTAAAAATCAACTCAATAATTAAAAAATCAACACAATATTGTTGCTAATAACAGTGAGGGTGCTTTTTGCCTTTTATCACGGAATTATGGAATGGTTTGGGTGGGAAGGGACCTTAAAGCTCATCTCATTCCACCCTCTGCCCTACCTGAGGACAGGGACACCTCCCACTGTGCACAATTCACTGTGCTGGGTAACAACCCCAAATCTCTCCCCACAAAACAATGGCCATCTGCTCTTCCAGCAGAGGAGGCAAAAAGCCACATTCCAGGGCTGGCACTTTTCCACAGCCAGCTCCCCTCTGCCTCACAGCATTGCACAATGTTTGAGTTTCTCACCCCAGCCCCACAGGCAGGTGATGGAGCCCTTGGGAAGATCTGTGGCACTGAACAGGCCCTGCAGGCACCACGTGGAGACAACCAGGCGCCCAGAGGTGCCACCAGGAGCAAGGAGGGGGCTGCCTTACCGTCGGGAAGTCTTCCAGCACCTGCCTGTCCTTCTCCTTGCTCTCTGTGTACTTCCAGTCTGGCTGGTAGAGATGGGAGTGGAACTCGTGCAGCATCGGGACCTTGACGTCCAAGGGGATGCTCATGTCATCCTCTACAGTGTCCAGGGCACGGAGAACTAGGTAGAATATACACACTGCATGTCTGGGAGGGGAGAAAAAACAGTAATCCCTTACTTGGGAGTGCCCAGGAGCTGGGATTAACCACAGAGCCTTCAGCAAAGGCACTTTGAGCTCATCATGTCACACAGGTGCCTTTGGAAGATACCAGCCAGGTTAGAAAATAAAGGATTTTCCCTCAGGAGGGGAACTACAGCATGATTTTGGGGTTTGTTAGATGTGTGTCAGGGAAGGGTCGGGCCTGTGAGCTCCCTGAGCAGGGAGATCCAACCCTGCAAGCAAGGCCAGCGCTCACCTGGACCCAGAGGACAGAGCCCGAGGTCAGCTTATTGGGAAAAGCAAATGTCAAATAGGGAAGGGGGTAAAAACCAGGTGTGTTTCCCCATCATTCCCCCTTCTCTGCACACCTTTTACCCTGTTGGGGTAAAATATTCCCCCCTCTGTTTGGCGGAAAAAAGGGGTCACACTGTGCAACAGGAACATCAGGACTGGCAAAAAGAGCCAAAATCACCCTGTATTTTATATATCCAAGAGCAACTCACTGGAGGCAGCCCATGTGTGCCAGCATCCCAGCAGGAAGCTGCTGGAGAGCCACCTCCCCTCCTTCTCCCACCACCCCTGCTTTCCCCATCCCTGCCTCCACATTTCTGCAGCTGAAGAAAAAAAACCCACAAACCAAAAAACAACTCCTGATGGCAAGAAATGCTGTTTGCAGCTCCAGGATTTATCTAAAATAATCCCCAGATCTCCATGAGCACAGTGATATATTCCAAGGAGGTGAGGCATTTAATTATTTAACAAATGGAAAGTAGCTTGGTCTGCCTAAATGCTAATTACCAGGTGACAGTGCTGTACTCCTGGAATGACAATGTGCAAGCAGTGATTAATCACCCAGGGGAAAATGACTTGCTCTTAGAGCCAATACTGTTAAATTTGGCTTTTTTTCCTTGATTAGAAGGGTAACTAACACCTCTGTCAAACCACATGAGCAGCTCTCTCGTGCTCCTGTTCCTTTGCATGACTGAGTTCTTCCATTCCAGCCAGGCTGTAAATGTTCATCCAACAGGATGCAAGTGCCCGAGGCTCCAACCCACTTCCAGGAGCCACCAAGAAATGCAGAGCAGAACCTGGAAATGCCACCCCAGAGGCACCTCTCACATGGGCACCATGCTCAGGGAAGAGCCAGCAGTAATTCCAGAACTCAGCAGAATTAAACCACTCATTTAACCCCAATTCTGCATCCAGACCTTACCTGCCTCCCTAACTTCCACCACATACTGAATTTAGACCCGTGGCACAAATGGAAGCAGACACTTGCAAAGAACAAGTCTGGATCTTCCAGAGCTCAAGCTCCAGCCCTGTCCTGGGTGCAGCTCCCTCCTGCCCAGGTGAGGAGGTCTCCTTTCTCCTTGCCAGGACACACAGCCTGTGCTGGACCCTCAGGAACAGATCCTGAAGAGTTCCAGAGACAGGCGGGACCATGGAGCTGGCAGCAGAGAGGCAGGAGCATCCCTCCTCTCCTCTCCATCACCAGGAGAGCAGCTATGAGCTTGCATCATAACTCTTTTCCTCCACCAGCAGTTATGATGCTGTTGGCTCAGCTGCAGTTTTGAGCCTCCCACCTTCCCAGAAAACACCCTAACCACAGAGCAACGAGCTGGACAGGGCTCTGGCCAGCAAAACAGGTGGTTTATGGGGCCAAAAAAAATACCAGAAAGGAGGAACCAGGCATTTCAGCTCAACTGCCAATACTCTGTTTGGCCAGGGAAGCACTGCTCCAAGCACTCCCCATTTTCCACCAACCCTTCTGGGATGCCTGTCTGTAACCAGGGGCTCAGCTGAACTCCCTGATGGGGTCAACATCAATGCAAGCACTTTTCTGATCCAGCAAAATTAATTCCTCCTGTAAGGCTGTGGCTCTGCCTATTTCTCTATTCTCCCTATTTTGTATTTCCCTTTTTTGTACCTAAATTCTCTGGTGGAACTCCTGGGCTTTGAAAATGAGTCTCTCCTGATCCACTACTGAGCCAGCTGTAATCCAACGACTATCCCTGCCCAACCTGGGTTGCAAAGATCAGGCAAGAGGATTTTGAGGATGCCAGGCAGAGGTTTCTGTGCCCTGAAGGGTGATCCTGATCCCAGCAGGCTGCAGGGCAAGGATTAAAGGACAAAAAAGACAAACAAAGAAAAGTGCAGGAAGTTTGAGGCAAGCGCAGGGCAGACACATTACTAACAGGTTTCATAGTGTTTTCTTAATTTTTTTTCTTAATTCCTGCACAGAAAAATACATGGAAAATAAAAAACTTAATTCTTGGCCCTACTTGTACTTTTCCATGCAATTTCAGCCAAACCACTGAACTTCTCTGCCTTTCCTGTCAACCAGGCTGCAAACAGCATTTCATAAACACTGGACACAGCTATGGGGCACCATCCAAAATGCCAAACCAGGGCTCAGAAACCCCTAAGACCACCCAGTGCTTGGGGTGTGCCTGCAACTGCTCAGATCAGAGCCATCACATGTGTCTGGAACAACTTCCAGAACCCCTAAATTTGATCATCAACTCATCTTGGAATTAACTGGGGATTTAAAAACTGAAATCAGTAATTGTTAAATGAATATAAGGAATTATATAGAGAATAATTACATGGCATGAGGCTCCCTGGCCAGCTGAGCTTTATATTCTCTGTTACTATTCCTGTCTGAAGCTTTTCTGCACAGGGCAGCAAAATCTGCACAGCAAAAAATGGGTGTGCAACAAACCCCCTGTGACAACTGCACAGCTTTTGAGGCAGCTGCTTCCAAAAGCACTTCCCAGGCAAGGCCCAGGCCCTTGGTCAGCCCCAGGTTTTTCCTCACCTCCTCCCTCCAGCCTTTGTCCAGCACCAGCCTTGGCAGTGCCAGGACACATTCCCAGGGTGTCACACGTGGCACACTGCCAGGCTCTGTGTTTAACAGTCTGCTGGCCAGGAGGCTCAGCCCAGAGACCCAGTTTGGGGGGAGGGATGTGGTGTGGAGGGGGGATGTGGTACAGCCAGCTGGGACGTGAAGAGCCCCACGTCCCACTGCACGGGGTGGGGCTGAGCTGAGCCAGCCCAGTCAGCTCCTGATGGGAGAGGGAGCGTGTCCCAGCAGCTCCACGGGAGGAAAATGGAGTTTGGGGGTAGGGCATGAGCTCAGCTCTGGTATTGGGAGCATCACACCCACCAGCTCCTGAAACTGGGGGGGTCACTGCACCCCCAGTGTCGCGGTGGCACTGTACCCACCACCTCCCAAGGAGGAGAATTACCCCCACCATCTCCAGGGGATTCCCGGTGTCAGGAACCAGCCGTGCCCACCCCCTCCCGAGCATCCCCAGCGCTTGGGGTGGCTCCCCACCCACCACCCCGCAAAGACCCCCAGTGCCGGGGCTCACCACCCCCATTCCCCGGCGTCCCTCCGCTCACCGCAGCTCTCCATCCAGAGCCTGGATGACGGCGGCGAAGCTGCGGCTGGTCTGGTTGAGGTACCGGTAGCAGGTGCGGAGGCCGCATCCCAGCGAGTCCTGCGGGCAGAGCGGAGCCGCGGCTTGGAGGCGGGGGGCGGCCGGGGCCGGGGGCGCGGCGGGGGCCCCGCAGCCCTGCCGCTGCCGCTGCTGCTGCTGCTGTCCCCGCCTCCGGCCCGCTGCCCGCGGGGCATTCCGCGGCGGGGACAGCGTCAGTGTCCGCCGCAGCACGGACACGGCCCGGGAGCCGGCCGCCATGGGGGCGGCGGCACCGGGGGGCTGCGGCCGCTCCGCCCGGAGCCCGCCCCTTAACCCGCCCCGTCCCGGCTCCGCGCCGGAGGCGCTGCCATGTACGGACAGCGCCGGGGATGCGCGCAGGGTACCGGCACCGAGCGACGCATGGAAAACCGGAGATGCTCAGTCAGTGGGATGCTCGCAGGATGCCGGCACCGAGCGATGCAAGGGATGGCCGGAGCCGCGGGATGCTCCGGTAGCACCGGGGCTCTGCGATGTCCGGCATTGGTACCGGCACGGAGGGATGCCCGCAGCCGGTGGGAAGCTCGCAGGGTACTGGCATCGGGCAACACAGGGATGCTTGGAGCCGGTGGGATACCCCAATACACAGGATGCCCGGTGGAATGCCCGGAACCCATGCACACACAAGCAATGCGATAGGATGCCCGGAGCCGGTAGAACCGGGAAGCACCGAGGCGCACACAGGGCGCACAAAGCCGGGCAAAGTCCGATACACGCTGGATATGGGATGGTCACCCATGACAACACCATATCCGCGCCCGGATATGTCAGTGTCCCCCATCACTCCCGTGCCCCGCTCCCCCACCGGGAGCACCGCGCACCGGCGGCAGCGAAGCGCTTCCCGCCGCCCGCGCATCCCTCGCCGCTCACCGTGTCCATGCGCGGCATGACGGCGCGGTAGCCGCCCATCTTGAAGCGGAGCAGGTTGTAGATGTCCTCGGGGTGGCCCAGCCATTTCCGCAGCAGCTCCATGGGGGCCGCGCTCAGACCCCAGCGCCGCCGCCGCGCGCTCCCGCCGCCCCCCCAGCCGCTTAACCGGGCACGGGCGGGGCCGCTCCAGCCCCGCCCCGCGACCAATCACAGCGCTCGGCACATCGCTCGGTGGGGCGGGCGCGGCGCCGATTGGCGAAGGCGCGCTCGCACCAGGGCAGCGCCAGCCAATAGGGAGGCGGCGCGGCTGGTGTGACGGCCGGCGGCGGGCGCTGATTGGCGGAGGCGCGCGTCGGCACAGGCGGAGCGGGAAGGAGTCGGCGGCCCCGAGCCCCCTCGTGTGAGCGTGAGGGGAGCGGAGCCGCCATGGAGGCACGGGGGGGTTGGCGTGGGAAGGGAGCGTGAACACCTTCCAGTTCCAGCCCCCTGCCATGGGCAGGGACACCTTCCACTCTCCCAGGTTGCTGCAAGCCCCGTCCAACCTGGCCTTGGACACTTCCAGGGGTGGAGAAGACACAGCTTCTCTAGGAATTCCGTCCCAGCCCTCACCTCCTCCTCACAGGGAAGCAATCCTTCCCAGTATCCCATCTAACCCTGTGCTCTGGCAGTGGGAATCCATTCCCCCTTGTCCAAAGTCCCTTTCCAGCCCTCCTGAGCCCCTTTAGGCACTGAAAGGGGCTCTGAGGTCTCCCTGGAGCCTTCTCCAAGCTGGACACCCCCAGCTCAGAGCCTGTCTCCAGAGCAGAGGGGCTCCATGGCCTCCTCCGGACTCGCTTCCACAGTCCAAACCTTTCCTGTGCTGAGAACCCAACACATACCCAGCTCCATCCTCATCCTTCAAAGTGCAAGATTCAGCTTTTGAGGTTCTTTCTTCCGAGTCGTTTTCTTCCAGAAGTTGGGCTTTGATCGTCATCGTGGGTCCCTTCCAACTCAGGATATTCTGTGATTCTTTGTTTTGGACGGGCACTTGGCCAACACCCTGCAGAAGGGACATTAACCACCTTCTTTGGCTCCACAACCCCATTAATTGGTTAATTCAGCAATCCCATAATCTGGAACCACTCAAAGGTGTTGCAGTTCACATGGGAGAGGCTGTGCAAGCCTTGCCTAGGAAGCAGCTGCCTACAACAGATGTGTTTACCTCCAGCATTCCCAGCTGATATGCAATCCATCTTCAAATCCAGTTCCCATTAATGAGACCACTTACACAGCTAAGGAAAGTCACTGGTACCACTCTGTAGAGGCAGCTGTTAATGAATTCCAGGCAGCTGAAATTTCCATGTACAGCCCAGTTTTTAACCAAGAAACTACCAAAAGGACACACTTGAGATGAACATCACTGATTCTAATCCAGCTTTTATTTTTTTTGCTCAAGTCAACAACTTATTATTAAAATAAACTCAAATCCAGGGAGAGAGGACAGCAGCAGTTCCCACCTAGTATACAGAGACACAGCTCTATTTCCAAACCTTTCTGCTTTCAGTTTCCTTGGAGATCCTGAGTCTCATGCAACACTGTCACACACTGTAATTTTTTTTTTCGTTTTTACAGTGAGATCTGGAATTGGCAGGTTGCCACAAAGCTGAAACCTGTGGGTGCAGAGATGAGCTCCGCCAAGCACTGCTGACATACATTTTGTGTATGTTGACGTGGAAGGAGGGAGCTGTTCCTGTCAGCTCTGACACAGGGAACAGCCCCTCGTGTTTAACCACACCCAATCACAGCCCAGCACACAGCTATTCAGCTCCAAACAGAGGCAGGATTATTTAATTCCTAATTAATCAAGCTGCTTAGGCAGAGGGATATCCTCTGTTTTGCTGACTCCTCTGGGGTCAAGTGAGAGTCACTTCAGACCACAGCAATCCCCTGCTCAACCTTCTACACTTCCCATCCACTGCCACCTGAATGGGGTGACCAATGCACCTCAAACCTGGTCAAACTTTACACTGTGGTGCCAATGTGACAAAAAAACCAAAAAAAAAAACCATGGGCAGCCACTTTTTCCTTTCTGCAGCCACTCAGTGGACCTGGGACCTCCACTGAGCACTTAACTCTGCCAACTCCCTAAGGGCCAAACTCAACAGCCTAAAAGAAACCAGAGAGACCTTCTAGGACAACAAAGAGCGTGGATCAGAGATCACCCAGCACCCTGCAGGACAGGTCACTCAGTGACTGGGGAAGGGTCCCCACCCCCTGGCAGCACCGCAGGCTGGCACTGAGGGCACCACCACGTAAGTCTCTTGAAGCCACCCGAGGGTCCAAAAGTGCCCTTCATCAGGGGATGCCCCAGGGGACACTGCTCCTTCTGGTACACCTGGGGGTGCAGCCCTTGGCCACGCAGTTTGCTGTGCAGCCACTCAGAGCTGAACTGCAGGGCGCAGTCCAGCAGACGCTCCAGATCTGAGAGAGCCAAGAGGGAGCCTGGTGTTAACGGGTGGATCCTGGCCAGGTACAAGATCTCGTTCTTAATGATGTTCCCTGGGAGGGGTCAGAAACAAGGAGACAGTAAGGATATTTCTAATCAAGGCAATGCAGGCTGCTGGCTCCAACCTGTGATTTCTGCCTCAAGCATCACAGCCAGCAACAGCATTCCCTGTACCAGAGGTGGCATCCAAAGCGTAGACTTAGAGCTGGGATCAGACTGGAAGAGGTTCTCTTCCCTCTGCCATTGTTACACACCTTGAGGATGACCACATGTCCTCAGCTGGATCAACCAGAAGCACTGGGCACTAAAGAGAAAAGTGCCCGACATGCACTTCTGCATCTGTAGACATCCCACCCACCTTCCTCCATTTCTCCTTCTGCCCCTATTCCCTGGAACTCACCCAGCCCTGAAAAATATCTTTGGTCTAAGAGGGTGTAGCAGACGGGATCGGGTGCACAGAGGGCACGCAGCGCCCGGCCACGGTGGAATTCCACAGACAGGATGTCAGAAGCAGGATCAGCCCTCGGAGAGGAGCACCAGAGCATCCGGCAGTTGTAGAAAACAAGGAAACCTCCACTCTCAAAGTACAGAACCAGCCTGGGAGAAGCAGGGAAGTTGGATTCTCTCATCAGAAACATCTCTGAACTACTTGCTATACTCTGCAGCTGGCCACTGTCTCAAGGCAAGGTGGCATCTTTAACAGCTGCAGCCATGAAGCTTGGTGGTAAACCTACACAGCTGGTGAAAGGTTTGTCCTTCTGCTGCCCTGTGACCCTGGTTGACAAAGCCTTCAGCAGGACAGTCCACAAATCAGAGAAATGGATGTTAAAAGTAGCACAAAAAACTGTGTCTGAAAATACTTGTATAGAAATAAAGTCATCCTCCAAAAAATCATAGAATCATAAAATGGTTTGGAAGAGAACCCAAAGATCATCTTGGGCCACCCTCTGCCATGGGCAGGTCTGGCGACACCTTCCCCCACCCCAAGCCCTGTCCAGCCTGGCCTTGGACACTTCCAGGGATGGAGCAGCCACAGCTTCTCTGGGAAGCTGCTCCTCCTTGCTCTGTATAATTCCAGTGGGATATAGGACAAAAACCATAGCCATGTTTTCAATTCACTGCTGCCTTTTACAGCATCACTCCAGCCTCTGATTCCAGGTGTATGAGGCGTTTGTTATTTATCCAAGGCTTTTTTAAAAAGCATTTAACTGGGAGAAACTGGCACTTTTAGGGCATGATTCAGCCTGGCGTCCTAAAACTTATCTCTTCAAGATAAAAATCTTAGCAGAGCTGGTACTATAATCTCCAGACTACTGCATCCTACAATTCCACTGTGGATTCTCTCGTTGAACACACCCCACATTCACTCATGCCTTAAAAATTATCAGAGAAAACCAAGGCTAAGAGCATTCCCACACAGATTTGGTTTGGGAGAAAAGAGGAAATACCTGGGCACAGGATCCTTCCAGTCCCCCCTTTTATTGGCTCTGCTTGCCCTTGAGAACTCGTTTGCCCGGACGCTGCCGAACATGCCGAAGTGGACGCGCAGCCAATTGCCCCGACCCTCTGCTGCCTCTGGGCTTTCAGATCTTGAGTGCTGGGCTTCCTGCAGCTCCTCATCCTGGGAATGGGGATGTGGAGCACCATCCTGTCCTTGCTGTCCCTGGGCAGGACAGTGTGCCCCACAAGCAGCCTCTCTTTGCAGCGCTGTCTCTTCTGCAGTTGGTCCAACAGGACCTTCAGCTGCCACAAATGCCAGGTACAAGTTCTTCCCATGAACCTTGGGAAAAGAGGTGGGATGTGATCCATAAAGGACCATAACATTCTAGAAAGACTTGGGTTAGAATAGACCTTGAAGCTCATCTCATTCCAAGCCCCCAGCCATGGGCAGGGACAACTTCCACTAGACCAGGTTGCTCAGCCCTCATTCAACCCAATTTTGAACACTTCCAGGGATAAAACCTCTGGCTGTTTCCACAACCTCTATGAGAGGGCACATCAGCCCACCTTGAACATGGGATTCATCAGCATCCAAGCCATTCCCATCAGAGCTGGGGTCATCCTTGCAGATTCCCTTCTTTGCCTGCCTGAAGCAGATGTTTAGATGCTACTCAATTCTGAATCCCTCACAGGGATTCCCATCAGGCCCACCAGGACAGACACCCAGGGGCTTGAAATTTGTCATCCTCACTTCTGATTCCTCTTCCCACTTTGTGCTGGGCACATTTTAATTTTGCTCCACACCTTTAACCAGAGGTGAGGCAGCATCAGGGTTTGGCCAGTCAGGTCCAAATCATCATCTGGGGGTGTCAGGCTAGTGAAGCCCCATCAGGACCAAGCCAGTGTGACTTCTGACAAGTACCCACAGCACAGACATCTCAACTTAGCCAGGTGAAACCCTGAGGGAAACATTCACAGGTTCTGCACCTTCTGTCACCCAGGTGAGGGACAATGGTGATTTCTGTCCTCAGACTTGTCATGGATCTGCAAATTCAACGCACCTGGGAGTCCTGGAGCCTCAGGGCATTCAGGTCATTCACACTGAGCTTCCGGCTGCTTCCCCCCACCTTGGCCACCACTTGTCCCACAAAAGGGGAGGTCAGCAGCTGGAACTTCCTCACTGACGGGCCCTCTGGCATCTCCAGCAGCTGCAGAGGGATTAGCAGGTCCTTGTCACACTCT